ACCTCTATTAATCTTCTTTAAGCAGGCCTAAATCACCTGTGTCCCATGCAAAGAGTAACTCAGAACTGGCACAGTACTCCCATTAGTGTGCTCAGCCCAGGGGAGAACTTGCCTCCTTCGTTTGAGTCCTATGCTTCTGTGATTGCAGCCTACATTCACGTGGTTTTCTAACAGCCTCATCAAGATCATTCTGAGCCTGCAACCAACTCAGACCTTCTTTTCACTTCTACTATGATGTCTCCTCTGGCTTATCCTGATACAATGAGTGGGATTTTCCTAATCGAAGACTGGGACTTCATCTTTTCTCTATTTAAAATTACCCTAATAAATTCAGTTCACCACTCCAGGTCATCTTGGGGTTATGATTCTATCATTCTGTCTGTGTTCAGGTTTGCACTGGACTGAACCTAGGGATGAACTCTAGGGCAGGACCAGAGGCAGCCCTCCAAGGATGGCATGGCTCTGTATTCCAGTTACTATGGCTGCGTAACAAACCACCCCACAACTTAATGACTTGAAACAAGCATAGTCATTTAATATCTCCCATGGTTTCTGTGGGTCAGGAATTTGAGAGATGCTCAGCCAGGCAGTTATGGCTTAGAGTCAGATGTCAGTGTAGCTGCTGTCAGCTGAAGGCTTGTAGAGGGCTCAAGGACCATGTCTAAGGTGGCATACCCATGTGATTGGCAGGTCGTGCCAATGAAAGCCAGTGGCTTCCGTAATTCTCCATGGGGGCCTCCCAGTGAAGCTACTTAAGTGTTCCCATGACAGGGTGGCTGGCTTCCACCACACTGAGTGACATGGAGGCAGGGAAGAAGCTGCAGTGCTTCTCTGTCTAGATCTGAAGGTCATACACCAATCCTGAATTCCAGTGGTCACATAGCCCTGGGTTAGTGTGGATGGGGATGTAAATAGTGGGGGATGAGAATTACAGGGGCATACCGGTGGCTGTCTAAACTGACTCTTAGAGGATGGGCAATCTTCCAGCCCACCTAACTGTACCACCACGGAGTACTTGTTTCTGTCCCTTATAGGGGGACATCATATAAGTACCTTGCAAAGTTTGAGTATAAGGTATTTGCAGAATTTCTTCAAAGCATCCGTCTCATACTCCTGTATGAGTGAGTGGCTTGGTTCTGCTCTCCCAAGCCACATTATCTGTCTCAATGTCTACAGGTCAGACAGCCTCCAGTTAGTCCACAGGGTTATCCTGATACAATGAGTGGGATTTTCCGTGACTCCCTTTAGAGCAGGAGGCCCCAGGCTCTTCAAATGTTTCCCAAGGAAATCTTCTTCTGAATTTCTTGATCTCTGGAAATGCTTGGTCATGGAAGTCCATTCAAAATGCGCTTTCCAGCCCTGCATTCCCCAGCAAGCCCAGTTGTGGCTTGGGGCGGGGAGCCGGGCCAGGACAACTCTTCCTTCTCATCATGGACATTCAACATTCACTTTCCTTGGACATTCATCTCCGACTGGTGTGGCAAAGATGGTTGCTTTTCAGAGCTATGTCATATCCTATTGAAACTTGTGGACAATTAAAAGCATCAGACTGTTTTTATGCTGGCCACCGTGAAAGGGTTGCCTATCTGACTCTAGCTATAAAATAGTTAAGGAATGGTGTGTGATAGTCTTGGATGTGAATCCCAGTTCTGGCACAGGAACCTCAGGCAAGTTTCTTAACTATTCGGGATCTTGACTTTTATACTTATAAATGGAGCTATCTCATGGAATTGTGAGAATTAAAACAAGACATGGAATGCGCCTAGCAAACGGTCTGGCTTGAGGTGCAAGGATGAGGAATTTTCTTCTTTCCTCTACCCCTTGAATTCTGGTGTCCCTGAGTTAGCATATTCTCTTCTGTGTGCTACTTTCTGGATTTGTAAAAGCAGCTAAAAATACCCACCTCATAGGAGTGTGGCAATGATAAATACTATATGTTATGTTTGTACAGAACATTGCAATCCTTTCTGGAAGCAGAGGGCTGTAGAAATACAATGTAGAGCAGCCTTCCTATGGCAGAACTGAGCCAGGGAGCGAGCCCACTGAGAACCAGTGAACTGTTTGAAAAGTGCCATTTTATTACTGTAACGCTGTACAAGTGACAAACTAAGAGAGAAATGTTCTAATAATAAAAAACACGAGATAAGTTAATGAAACACTTGCAAGCCCCACAGGTCTGTGTGGAATCATGATGTACAGTGACAGGAAAGTGCTGTGTCACCTAATACATTCACATTGAAGGCACATTTAAGGAAATTCTCATTTCTTGAAGCTTCAGTTCAAAAACATTGAGTTCCTGAATTTGTAGCAGATTCCTATTTTCAGTAAAACCCTGCCATTTATAAAGGAGGAAATTATGGCAAGCATTTTACTCATCGTTTACTACGGTATTTACCAGTTAGTGAGTGAGCTGAGTGTGGTGTTCCTCTGTTGGGTTATAAGATCATTACCATCATCATCACCATCACCATCATCAGCAACAACATTTTCCAAGCAGATCTGGGATAGGAGCATTTAGGTTTTGCAGTCCTGGAATTGTGTACCTCCCCAGGTTCCTGGGAGCCTTTTCACCTTCTGTCTCCCTCCCTGGATCCCAAGGGATTGCTTCCCACACCCCAGACCTGAGCTGGCTATTCTCTGGTCTTTCCTTTATTCCAGCCACCAGAGTCTTTTGGGAAGGCTGATCAGCTACGTTTGATACATTTCTTTTCTTTCAGAAATAACATTGGACTATTTTGACAAATTTGTCCCAGAGTTTCACACACCATAATGTAGATATAGAATGCATGCTTATAAGATGGGCAAAACCAGTACAACCACCTCCCCCCCACCACACACACACATACTGGCTAGAAATGGAATGGAAGAGGTACAGGAAGCACCTTCATAGCTTAAAAATAATTTGCTAAGACCTAGAAGCAGCTTTTCCTCACAAAACTTAGTTATCTTACATTTTAGTTATTTTTGCTTATGAATCTTCACTGGACGTATAGTGAGAGTTGCTAATTGCATGACAACAGCCACTTGTGGCTATTAGGATTTTGTGGCTCAGGAATATTTTTGAACTGTTGCATTTTTTTTCAGCTAGAGATATTGATGAAGGTAGAGCTTCTTAGCATTTATCCCCAGGCCCAAAGAAATGAGATTAAATACAGCCATGATCTTAGGGATCATGTGTACCTTAAATCTCACAAGTCACCTCGGACTTCCTGACCATCCCTGGCTTAATAAGGGATCTGGATTTCTGGTCTACAGATTGGTGTCAGAACCACATTAACCACACTGTCATTAAGAGAGAGCATAGAAAAAGAAAGAGCCATGGCATGCATTTGGCTGGTAGGAGGTCACAATATTGCTGCTCTTTTGTTGGTTAGTTTATTTATTTATTGGTACCAGTGATTGAACCCAGGGCACTTAACTACTAAGTCACAACCCCAGCCCTTTCTTTTTGATAATTTTGATTTTTTAAAAAGATTTTTAGTCATAGATGGGTGCAATACCTTTGTTTTATTTTTATGTGGTACTGATAATTGAACCCAATGCTTCACCTGTGAACACTCTACCACTGAGCTACAACTCCAGCCCATTCCCAGCCCTTTTAACGTTTCATTTAGAGACAGGGTCTCACTGAGTTGCTTAGGGCCTCACTGGGTTGCTGAGGCTGGCTTTGAACTTAAAATCCTCCTGCCTCAGCCTCCTCAGCCTCTGGGATTATAGACACGTACAACCAAGCCTGGCTCTGCTTCTCTTTCTTACCTCTTATTTTCCACAATTGAAAGAAGAACATCAGTTAGTCCCAATGTAATGCCTACAGAGTGAAACCCTCAGTCAGGCCCTAAGTTTTGTGTGCGTTGAAGAAATGGTAGACATCCAGCTATCAAAGGAACACTTACGATGTAATTAGCAGGCACAAGAAAATCAACAGAGTGACTTCAAACCTTAACAAGCCAATACGTATATATGAGAAAATCAGTGTCTAGCAAAACTCACTGATCAAAAGGAGAGAGATGACTGATGTGGAGTAGAGAATGGTCAGAACTCTGTGGGGCAATCAGAAAAATTGAGAAAATTCTGTGAATTAATTGGGAGAGAAGTAGATAGAAACTACCCTGGAGCAGCAGAAAACACTTCCTTCCAAAGGACCCTGTCTGAAAAATCAGTGCTTCCCTGCACCAGGTGAGCTGGGTCTCACTCCCTGTTCAAATCTCACATACATGCATTTTGTCCCCATTTCTAGCCCCTCCTCATGCCTTGGTTGGAAACTCGGCTTTTCCAGAGTCAAAAGCCAGAACACAAGGCACCTATTCACCCTGCCAGGTTTGAAATTCTCCTCTGAAATTCCTTTAACTGCAACGCCTTCTCCCAAGTACACTGTGCATCTTTTCAAATTTCAGACATAAACAGCAGCCTGGCCCTGCCTGGCCACCCTTCTCACTCTCTTGATAAAAATAGAAAGGGCTGAGGTGGAGGGAGCCTGGGCACAGTGGGCGTTTTGTGGATCAGCTGTTTGTACGGGTGTTTCTGACCCTCTTTGCCTATTTTGGGGAGGGGTGTCTCTAGGGAGGAGCTTCAAGGTGGATTCTTGGAGGATTTGTCATCCCAGGGCACCTCGGCACCTTCCATTCTGGACCAAAGACACATCTCTGTGATTGTGTGTTTAACTTTGTGTCCCAGGGAGAGACACGTTTACCTGTGGTTACTGGCTTGGGTGTGAATCCTGGTAGCTGTGGGGATGGAGACAGTGGTGAGAAGGAGGGCCAGAGCCATGTTTGCATAAACTATCGGCAGGGGAATCTTTGCTTGGCACCTAGTTACCCATGACGGAGTCTTGGGTGTGGTGTGAGTTTAAGTCAAGATGGGCGTCATGACCCTGAGAGCAGGTGAGGGCTTTCAGGGGGGGGGGGTAACCAGGTGCTACTTGGGCAGTTAGCTTCTGCTGTAAGGGGCAGAGGGGAGTGAGAAACAGGCAACTGCAAGTTTGGTGGGCTAGGGCTCGGGAGAGCTGTTCTGGTGCTAACTATCCCACTTTGCAGGGATTTGACGTAAGGCCTCAATTTCTTCCTCAGTAAAAGGGGAATTGCAACATACCATTGAAGAAGGGATCCTGTTGCTTCTCTGCTATAATCACCCAGAGGCTTTAGGTTGAACTTGAGGGTGCCTTTGCATAATGTTCTGGTCTTATCCACCTCCCTCACCGCATCTCCTTCATCCCCCAGCCCCGCCGCAGGTCACCTGAGTGCTTGCTCTTATGGAGTTGACTACCACATCTTAGTGTTATAAATATCAGGGAGACCTCCCCTGATCACTCTGCCCCCCACTACTTCCACTTCTCCTTTTCCGTCAACCTCTGTTACAGCTCCTTGTTCCTTTTCTTCCCAGCTCAGGCCTCACGTTGCCAGTTCTTCATTTAGTATCCCCCCCCCCATCGGATTGTGAGCTTCACGAGGGCAGGGCACATGTTCCCAACTCCCATCAGTGGTGACACATGAAGTCCCTTGATAAATATTTGTAAAGTGAATGAATAGGTCTATTTTGTATCCCCCGTGTCTGGCACATTTTGATGCTCTGAAAATGAATCATCATTACTCACATGCATTGAGCACTATGTGCTAGGGGTTGTTCTCTGCACTTTATGTTTAGTAACTCATTCGGTAACCATAGTGACCTGACGATTTGTACATATCCATCATACATTACTCCTGTTTTACCAGAAACAGGAGACAAAGGCCCCCAAACAGCAAGACCCTTGCTCAAGATTGCACAACGAATGAACGGCAGAGCTGAGATTCACACCAGGGATGGCGGTGGTAGGAACTGTTTAAATGATGGGAGGGAAGGTTGGCTTAACAGGTAAAGGTCATGGCCAGGGGCTTGAGCTGAGCAGAGTTGGGAACCAAGGAAGAATTCCAGAAGCTCCATGATGCCCATGAGATAACAAGTTAGAGTGCTGACGGAGAACTGAGTCACGCTAGATTCATGGGGATGTGAGGCTGAAGATGGGGCCTGGTTGAAGTTTTAGCTCAGGTCTCTCAGGTAGAGTTCTCTGTGGCCAAAGAGAAGCCCCAAAGAGGCAAGCTTAGCCAAGTGCTGTGGTGCACGCCTGTAATCCCAGCAGCTGGGGAGGCTGAGGCCAGAGGATCACAAGTTCAAAGCCAGTCTCAGCAATGGTGAGGCCCTAAGCAACTCAGTTGTTGTCTCTGAACAAAATACAAAATAGGGCTGGGGATGTGGCTCAGTGGTCGAGTGCCTCTGAGTTCAATACCTGGCACCCCCCCACCTCAAAAAAAAAAAAAGCAGCAAGCTCAATTTGTTTTTAGTCATATCAGGCAAGAAGCTTTGGAGCTTTGGATTCTGGCATCAGGTGTCAGTTGATAGGTCACAGCTCAGCTCTGGGATTTGGTTGCTGGCTTGGCTTTGCCATTTGTAGCCATCTCACTGTCACCTTGACCCTCTGCTGGAATCACCCAGTGCAGGTAAGCATTATACGGATGCCCTGGGGACCTCTCTGACCCCATCACTGCGTATCTGTGCCAGAATTGCCCTGATAGGGCGCTTGGAAATTTGGTGGAGACTCATTTAGTGTCCAGTTTGCCCACATTCTAGGCCACTCTTGAAAAAGGCACAAAGGCACGAAAGCAACCTTGTCCTCGTGACTGATCTTCTACAGCCACAGATGTCCTTAGGACCCACCCAGAGGCCCCACTTAAGACATCTCCTGAGTCTGAATCTTTGAGACAATGTGATAGGCCAGGGTACTAGGCAGGCCTAATCTTAGCCCTAAGATTGTTAGCTCCTCTGGCTCCCCTGTTCCTTCCCTGTGGCTTTATTCCTTGTCTCCTGGGACCAGTCTTCCTGGCCACTGAGCTCTCCAAAATGTGGAAGAATCAATAAGAGTTGGTTGCGGCTCTACCAGCTGCTGCAGACTTCCCATCTTGGGACTTGTCAAGGGCTTAACCGCTCAGCTAACCAATGGGGAGCTCTGCTCATTCCATAGGATGGATACAGGCAAAGGATGGAGCATCTTATGTGGTGAAAGCAAAAAGCCAGGAGGCATACCTGGTGCATGCCAGGTTTGGCTTTCCTGGATGGCTTAAAACTGGATCCAGGAGGCCTGCCCTTCCTTACTCAGCAAAGGAGGAGTTATAGGGAGGAGCTTACTGGTTCAGTAGGAGGTAGAAGGATCAAGTCTAAGAGATTCTAAGATGTCTCCCTAATGCAAAGTACATAGGATCAAATCCAGGAAGTTGTGCTGAGACCAGGATCTGAGAAACTTCAAATTGCTCTGGTCTTGCTCCAGAGAGTCATTGGGGTTCTTAGCCTGGATCCATCCCTGCAAGCTTAGGAGCTGAGTAATGGAAACCTAAGAAGAGCCAGAGATGGGGACCAGGAGCCAGGTCATAGGAGAAGACCTAACCATCTGTGGCATGCATCTTCTGTGAAGGGCAGGCCTACTTGCTTTCAGCTCTCCAAAATATGGAAGCATCAATAAGACTTGGTTGTGGCTCTACCACCTGCTGCAGACTTCCCATCTTGAGACTTGTCAAGGGCTACTTGAAAGCAGGTAGAAGTTTCATGAAAAACCAGAGTAAGAATAGACACAGGGAGGGTTAAGCCTTCAGAACATGAAGTTCTGATGAGAGCTGTGGATTGGGGCTTGAGTTTGGAGTACTCAAGAGAAGGGGACAGTCAGGTTGGTTCTCTACAGAGTGGAGAATGTCCCCAGAATGCCTTATTGAAAGCCAAGTCTCACTTTTAGGACTTTATTGATGAAGATCTAAGGGAGGGATTGACCTGGCACGCACGCTTGGGCAAAAGACAGGAGGACAAGAGGCAGGAAAGAATACCTGGAAAGCTCATCCTGAGGGGACTCGACTTTGATGGATAGGGAGGTACAGAGGGCCTAGAGAACACCAAGGGACATGAACAGGAGGCAACTGGTGTCAAAATTCTGCTCCATCACATCATCAGGCCCAGGATGCTAAGCCATCCTGAGAGCTTTTTCCAATCTCTGGGGCCAAAATTTACCTTCATCTTAGATTCTATGCTTGTCAGTCCTTGTGCTAAAAGCCTGACCACAGTCAGGTCAGGCTTTTAGGGAACACACCTGGAACTCACTCCAGCACAAAGCACCTATGACAAGGGTACAAAGATACCGTCCCCAAATAAAGTAACATTTACAGGTTCCCAGAATAAGGAACATGAAATCTTTGGGGTTCACTTTCAACTCATTATATCATATGGTTCCATTTACATGAAATTCTGGAACGAATAAAACTAATATACATTGACCAAAAGCAATGGTTATTGGGGCAAGGAAGAGGACATGACTGACACAAAGGGGCAAGGGAGAACTTTCTGGTGGAAAAGAAATGCTGTATGTTGTGATAGTGGTAATGACTACGTGACTATGTCAACTTATCGTAATTCACTAAAGTGTACTCTTACAATTGGGCACATGTTATACATAAGTAAATTTTTTTTTTAAAAAAGAAAAGTGTAGATTTGGGAAAGGAACAAATCTTGGAAAATCTGATTCAGCAAGTCTGGTGTATGATTTAAGCAAACAACCCAGGTTTCTGGGAGGCAGGTGGTTCTGGAACCTAAATATCAGGTAAAGAATGAAGGGAAAGTATCTTTGTAGATGGAATTAAGGATTTTTGAGATGAGATGATTCTGGATTCTCTAGTTGGTTCTCTGAACACCATAATAGGTGTACTTTAGAAGGGAGGTAGAGGTAAAGTCTCTCTCTCTCTCTCTCTCTCTCTCTCTCTCTCTCTCTCTCTCTCACACACACACACACTCATACACACACACACACACACACACACACACGCCAAGGCTATGTAAAGATGGTGGTAGAGATTGGAATGAAAGAATGCCAAGAAATTCCAGGAGCCACCAGAAGTCAGGAGAGATGAAGAATGGACTCTCTCTCAGAGATTCCAGAGGGAGTGTGGCCCTGCTGACACCTTCATTTTGGACTTCCAGATCCATGAGAGAATAAAATTCTGTTGTTTTAAGCCAGCAGATTTGTGGTAAGTAATGCTTTAACAGCAGCCCTAGGAAACTAATGCATGTGGTATGCATTTTTATGTGTCCTAACTTCTTTTGCTCAGCTTGATTTTCATATTCTTCCATTTCATTATACAAATAAATCACAATTTGTTTTTTAATTTCACCTATTGGTAGATGTTTGGAGTTATGTTTAGATTCAGGCTATTATGAGTAAAGTTGTTATCAACAGGTTTGTATGTGCATACATTAATTATTATTTTTTTGGATAAATATCAAGGAGTGTTATGGTTGGGTTATATGACACTTTAATTTAATAAGAAACTATGAAATAGTTTTCCAAAGCAATTGTACCATTTTGTATTCCCATAAGCAACGTGTGAGCACTCCAGTTCCTTCACGCTCTTGCCAACATGTGGGCACATAATTTCTAATTATACCCTGACATCTTTGCATCTCCCAGGACCTCATCAATCTTTTAAAGTTTAGTTGTTTAAACAAAAGCAATTTGTGTTTTTGTGGGTTTTTAAATTTAATTTTATTTTTTTGTATCAGGGGTTGAATTCAAGGGCACTTGATCGCTGAGCCACATCCCCAGCCATATTTTGTATTTTATTTAGAGACAGGGTCTCACTGAGTTGCTTAGTACCTCACTATTGCTGAAGCTGACTTTGAACTCACAATCCTCCTGTCTCAGCCTTCCAAATTTCTGGGATTACAGGCATGTGTCACTGTGCCTGGCTAAAACTTGTGGTTTTAATTTACATTTTTCTGATGACTCATGATGTTGAACATTGTCTAGTCTGATAATTGGACATTTTTTTGAAATGTCTTTGCAAATCTTTTACTCGTTGTGTTTGTGTGTGGCTGTGGAGGTTGATCATTTTCTTATTGACCTTCTAGGTTCTTTATGTACTTTGGATTCAAGCTTTTTGTTCAATATAAGTGTTGCCAATATTTTCTGCCAGACTGTGAACTTTCCCTTTTGTTTCCAGTAAATTATAAGAGCAGAAGTCTTTAATTTTGATGAAGCCCAGATTTTCAATTCTTTTCCTTTATAGTTAGTACTTTTTTCTTTGTTCTACCTAGAAAATCAGGGTCACAAAGGGTGTGTGTATGAGAGAGAGACAAAGAGAGAGAGGGAGAGGGAGAGAGAGGGGGAGAAAGAGAGAGAGAGAGAGAGAGAGAGAGAGAGAGAGAGAGAGAGAGAGAGAGAGAGAAAGATTATGGTCACAAAGATTTTCTTTGAGAAGTTTTATAGTTTTTACCTTTTATGTTTATGTTTATGATTCATTTTGAGTTACTTCTTGTGTGTGATGTGAGGTAAGAATTAATTTTTTTTCCTTATAGATATTCAGTTTTCCAGCACTATTTGTTGAAAAGATTAATTTCTCTCCCATTGAATTGCCTTAGCACCTTTGTTGAAAATCAGCACATAGGCCTATTTTTGTACTTTCTTTTCTATTCTATTAATGTCTATCCTCATACCAATACCACACTCTCTTGATTATTGTAATTCTATAGCTTGACTTGAAATAATGTAAACATATATTTTTCAAAAATAGTTTGGTTTACTTAAGATCATTTGCCTTTCCATATAAATTTGAATGTCAATTTAATAGTCTCAATAAAATACCTTCTGGAATTTTGATGGGGATTGAGTTGGATATATTTGGAATGAATTGACATTTTGACAATGTTATGTATTCCCATCCATGAATATGGTATATCTTCAATTTATTTAGGTTTAAAATTTTTTTCCTAGCAGTGTTTTTCAGTTTATATAGTAGACATTTATTGCAAGAGTTGAAATTTCAAATTATGCCCTGACATCTTTGCATCTCTCAGGACCTCAGAGTCCTAACATGAGTTCTCCTGCTCTCTCTAGATACACTCCCCACCAAGCAAGAAAGACTCCCATCTGGGAGGTTCCCTCATTAGCCAGATCAGCTACACTCCACCAGGTCCTTGACCTAACCCGTTTCAGTTCCCAACCAGATATGGAATTATTCAAGAAAACCACATCTCCTGTGGGAACCAAGGGATATTTCACCCTATAGGCACTACAAAGCCTGCCTCCACAATCATTATGTTCTCTGTGTTCCTAATTGCAGCACCTGTGTGGCCCTATGGCATTTGGCATCCTTCTCTCCCTAGGTTGTGAGATCATGTGACAAATAGGCTGCTGTCTTCTCATCTGCCAAGTGTTGGGTATTTGACCATCTCATACTCTTCAGGAGAGCATGGGGGGAGTGAGAATCCTTCCCTCACCAACAGGGTGAATAGGAGCTGGTGAGAAGAACAGGCCTTGACAATATTTTGTTAAATACATCTCTAAATAATATTATTTTTTTAAAGTTGTGGTAAAACAATATAAAATTCACCATTTTAACTATTTTTAATTGCATAGCTCAGTGACAGTACCTTCACGTTGTTGTGCAACTATCACCACCATCCACCTCTAGAACTCTTTTAATCTTGCAAAATTGAAACTATACCATACATATAATATATAATATAATAAATAATTATATATAAACATATGTAATATATAGAAAAATATATAGTTATAATGTTAATTATTATAATATTAATGTTAATGATATTAATAATATTAACTAATTAATATTAATTATATATATATATATATATAATTTCATTCATCCAGGCCTTGGCAACCATCCTTTCTATAATTATGAATTTGATTACTCTAAGTGTCTCATGTAACTGGGATCAAATAGTATTTGTCTTTAGTGACTGAATAAATTTGCAAAATGTCCTTAAGGTGCATCCACATTATAGCATATGTCAGAATCTCCTCTCTTTTTAAAGGCTGAATAATACTCTATTGTATATATTACTAAGTTCTTTTATTCACTCATCTTTCAATGGATCATATTTTTTGATCTTTTCAGATGCATTACTTTTTTTTTTTTTTTAAGTTATCGGCAGACACAACATCTTTGTTTTGTATGTGGTGCTGAGGATCAAACTCGGGCCGCACGCATGCCAGGCCAGCACGCTACCGCTTGAGCCACATCCCCAGCCCTCAGATGCATTACTTTTTAGATTTATTTTTCCAAATGATTTATTGCTCAGATCTGAATTTTTAAAAAATCAAGTACCTCTGTTGATTCTTCTACCTGCTGAAGCATGAGAATATTTAATTGCAAGTCAGTGATTCTTTTTTATGTTTGTATTAGTGCATTATAGTTACATATAATAGTGGGATTCATTTTGAAATAATAACCAATTCATGTAACATAGATTGCTTATTTTCAATCCCCAACATTTCCTCTCTCAACAATGATTCTTAATCAAGATATGAATAACAATCACCCAGTGCCAGAGCTTTATCCTTAATCTGGATGAAGCCCCCAGACTTGTTATTTTTGGGGGGAAATCTTCCCCAACTAAAAGCTGTTGATTTGTTGCTTGAGAGCAGTGGACACATCCTCCTTTTCATTCACGTGTTCATAAGACTTCTGCTGTACTCTGAGGCACACAGGGAAGAGGGATTGAAGAGGCATACAGAGACACAAACAGGTATTGCTGCCCGTGTGGGGGGTGTACATGGGGGTTGGTAGAGCTTTTGTCAGAATGGGTGAATTTTGTGGTCCTGGGTGCTGTTGTGGTTGCTGCAGTTTGGGCATCTGGAGTGGCCTCTGTTTGTCCTGCAAGAGTCCCCACGAAGCCTGGCTACCCTCCCATGCTGGTTAAGCTCCAGGCACAAGGCCACATCCTAAGGTTAAGACTGTACGTCAAACTCCTACAGTCATGAACTTTCTGGCTTTGTCTTGGGATGGTCATGCCATGCTGTCTCTAAATGCTCCATCTCTAGTGGAAAGTTTTGGTTTCTGGAGGTGGGGAGAGAGGAGCTGTTGGCTCTGCTGGAGTTCCATGACTGCTGAGCTACCCACAAAACTTGGTCCCTGTCCACTCTGCCTTGTTTGTTTACTGTCTGGGTTGCTTCTCCTCATTGAATCAACTGCCCCACCTGCCCAGTTACACACCACACCTGAAACCATTTGGCCTTTCTTCTCATCCTTCTTCTACTTGATCCATGCTTCTGGAAACATTGTCCAACCCCATTACTCAAAATATACAAATCCAGCTAAAGAGCCAAGGCACCCAGGCCGAGGGGTGTTAACCAAGCTCAGCTTCCTATGGCATTTTCCTGGTCTTGGCTAGAGGTTTGCAATTTTATAAGGAGAGGAGAACCTGTCGACTGTTCTCCAGAATGGCCCAAGGACACCTGCAACAGGTAGTTGCCCTAGGACATGGATGTAGCCTGGATGTGGGAGGGGCAGCTGCTCCAGCTCTGAAATTGCCCCCGAAGTAGTGGTTTTCAGCCCTCTCTGCTTATTGGTTTCACCTGGAGAGCTTCTGAAGCTCTTGATGCCCAGGCTGCATCCCAGACCAATTCAATCAGAATCTCAAGAGGCAGGACCCAGGCCACAGTTTATTCAAAGTTCTCTAGATGATTCCTACACATGACTAAGCTGGAGAAAAACTGTTCTAAAGAGACCAACACCAATGAGAGGTTGAGGCAGAGTGGGAGGGTCTGAAATCAATCTTAGTAGATTTGCCTTCCTGGGCCCAGCTCCTCCCCCATCCTCCCCTCCAGGCCCCACCTCCTTCCCTTCCTTCTCTTTCCCTCTCTGATTAAAATTATAGGAATATCATTGCCTTTTCTTCTTTCTTTAAATTTGTATTCTAGCCCTGGCTGATGTTAGTCCAGCTTTAGACCCTAGCATCATCTTTGGGTGCAAAATACACTTTTTCAGGCTGGAGAACAGGATACAAAGAGTAATAAGTTTGTTTGGCTCTGTTTTATCTGCACACTATCAAGATATTTTGGCATTGGTGACACCTGACACAGTAGGGAGGAACATTGATCTATGTCTCAGGAGAGCTATTCCTCTGGTGATACCACTCTGGGGGCCTCACCTGTGCTCTCCTCATGGCCTGATTCTAGCCTTGGGCTGGTCATTCCTCTGAGTTGGTACCACCCCACAAGTCC